GTCATTGCTTTTTAAATAACTACTTGGGCAAAGGGACTCCAAGTTCCTTCCAAAGCTTACAGCCCTTACCTTATGGGACAGAGAACCAGTGTTGAGTTTTTTGTCCCCATTGCTAAACATACACATCTCAACTGTGATTTTAGGAGCTGGGGGAGTGATTGCAGGTGGGTGAGGTGGCCTCCATGGGCCAACAGTAGATTTTGATGCCGCATTACTCATCTGCTCACTGGGTCTCGGGCTAATGCACGCCAGGGGCCCAGGGTACGGCGCTGATGCTGACTCACTGCCTGGCATCACAGCAAGGTCTGGACAGGTCGTCCTCTTGCTTCAATGCACAGTTACTCTCCAAATGTCCCAGCTCCCTTGGAAGATGCAGAGAGTAATGTTCTCAGCATGCACATGAAATATTATTGCTGGGGGCAGTGATCCCTTCAGTGAACCTGACTCGGGTGGTAGTTTCAGGTGAGCAGCGTGACTTTATTGTGCTGGCTCAAAGCTCTGTCCTCATGCAACAGAGGATTTTCCTCCGGAGGTCACCACGCAAATCAACTGTGACTCCCTGAAGGGCGCCCATCGCTTTCCTCCCGGGAGATCCCACAATCCATCAGCTCTCCCTCACTGGGTCAGGGGATTCTGGGGACCTTCCTGGTCACCACCCCCGCCTTCCCTCCAGGGATTAACTGTCACCACCCCGATGTCTGCCGCCGCTTCCCTGGTGTCTGGGGACGGCCAAGGGGGCTGCGTGCTGCTCTCCAGGGCTTCTCAAGGCTTTGAGGCGGAGGGAGGTGCCTTCAGAAGGGTCTTTGTTAATGGGGGTGGGGCTCTTGCAAACATGTGGGAAGGGGGTTCAGGTGACGATAAGCCCCAAAATCAAAAGATAGAAACCGAAAACAGGACACCCAAGAGGCGGGGCGTGGACCCCTCTCCGACCCCAGCATCAGTGGCGCCCCTTCAGTGGGGGACGGAGGAGGCACACCGTCCCCCTCCTTGAGTCGTTTCTGGATTCCTGGCTTTAAAAACATACGAAGAGTTCAGGACTCGGATTATTGTTTTATATTATATACTGCCATTTAATTATTCTTGCCACCTGTATTACATTTTGGGATAAAACACAACTGTGATTTTTTTTTTCAAATTTTGGGTTGTAAAACCAATTTAATGGTTTGGGACAAGTTTTAACAAAGCAGAAAATATTAGAGTGCATTTCACAGCATGCACAAAATAAGGATGAATATTGTTTGGCAAAACGTTAGTTTCTTTTCCTATACAGTGAACTACAGTAAAATATTCAGTAACTTTACATTGAATATAATCTCTTATGGTAGACAGTTTATATGATCTCTACTCATTTTTAACATAGCATTTGATTCCTGTCTGAGCTGAAGTATAGAAGTAAGCATAGCTTTCAAGAAGAGTAGATACTACTTTTCAAGAAGATTAAATACTATATGCTATTTTTCTATGAGCCTTGACAATCTCAGAATGATTTAATTTTTTAAAAATGAAAATATAATTTAATACAGTATAAAATAATATTTTTCCCACTGTACTTTTTAATCGATTGTCTTTTGGAAAACTCTAAGACCTTACTTTCTGATTTTTCGGTCGCTTTTGTTTTCTTTTCCATGTACATGTAGAGTTCTTTCCTCCTCCTTCTGTCTTGTTACTTACAATGTTTTACCAACAGGTGTCTAGGAGTGAAATCTCTTTTCTTTCCATTGTCTGTGCTTTCAATTTATATAATCCTGCTTTTATTTCAAACCACATTTGTAATTACTGTTAAGTGGTTCAGTCCTACACTAAAAGTAGTCCTGCTAATCTTTCAATCTTTCCTTTTCCTTCTCAAAATTATCAGTTGTAAAATAGCATTAAAATATGGAGTTAAATTCCCTCCTGCCTAATGGCCCCAGGCAGCTTCCAGACACAAGTATAACTTGACTATTTGAAAAACACGGTGTTGGCCCCAAAGGAGCCTTGCTTACAAGCTCAGCGGGAGGGAGCCTGCGCCCCAGCTCAGGGTACGAGCTGGCCCTGGACTCCGCACAGGCTGTCCTGTCCTGTCCCGCCCTCCTTGGCGGCGTCTGGGCTGGCTTTCCTCGTCTGATCGCTCCCCCTGCCCTTCTCCCCTCACGTACTGCGCGCCTGTCCTCGTTCTGGTCGGCAAGCCAGCCTACCGGACCTCACAATAGGGGTGTTGCCCAAGCCTGGAGGCCTCTTCCTCCAGATCCTCTCCTGCGTTGCTGCTTGTCATTCAAGTCCTGCTTCAATGTCACCTCCTCAGAGCAGCATCTCCTGACCTCTTATAGTCACAATCCTTTATATCGTCCTACTGGGTTTTCTTCTTAGAATTTATTACTGTCTTGTGCTTACACTCTGTCTCTCCCTCGGTACAGAAAAGGGCCTTATCCATTTCACCAATGAAACTATAAAGTCTGTGACACTTCCTGAATGGTAGACTGCTCCCCTAATTAATGAGAGGTTCTGTAATTAAAATCATTTGGGTTGTACATTTGAGATTATGTGCACGCATATTTTGTAGCTTCATAGTCTTAATTCCAAGATGCAATCATCAGAGTCTGTGTATTATTTAAGACAGATTATATTTCCTTTTGCAATGATTTTTTTCTTATAGAAACTACGCTGGTATATTTAATATTTTATCTTTTATATAGTATCAATGGTATCTGCTCATATTTTGTAAAATTACATTTTAAGCTCTTAGCATGGTTCCAAAAATTCAACAAATATCATCCCATATCTGTTATTTCATGCTGTATATGAGAAGTATAAAGACATTTAAAAATATATGTTTTCTTTGCCTTTTTCTCTAAATATATCTTGTTTCCAAAACTTTAAGGTAAACTAGTTCAAAATTATTATAATCAGGTCCTTTCAGGTGCTCAACTGCATCTAAGTATTCTTCTTCTGGGCAAGCAAATCATAATTTAATCATCTTCACAATCAACAACTGTGAAGGGCCAGCTCCAAAAAAACTTCACAAACAGAGTTACGGATATAGTTTCAGTGGGCTCACAGCCTTGCCAAGCTTACTTATAGCTCAGATTAAGAGCTCTGGGTTTAGATGATGCTGTTACCCCATTTTATCCCCCTGTGTTTTCACTGTATTGTTTCATTTGTAAGCAATTTGTAAGTCTTTAAGAAAGAACCAAAGACTTTGACTTGAATTCAGGTAAGCAATGTCAATTTTTTTATGATTTCCTCTTTTTTGAAAAACATTCCATATAACCTGGGAAATCAAGGTTGAGAAAGTCAGGTGACTTGTTGTTCAGTCTTTATTTGTTTCTATAGCCCTAGTTGCGTACAAGTAGTCCCCAAAGGATGCCATATAAGGTGAAAATGACTAGATCATCTCCTGACTTTGTTATAGCTTCTATTCCCATTTTTAAGGTTCCACATTAACCTTTGAGTCTGGAGAAACAGTGTCCCATGGTTTTTTTCAAAGAGGTCGGTGAGACAGACTCTTGGTAGCTCACTGACAAAGGCGTCTCATTTTGGGCACTGACAAAATGAGTCTCGTGAGTTTGTCCCAGGCTGGCATGGCCTTTATTACCAGTGGGGGTGGTAAACATCACTGATAAAGACACACACGTATCTTGCCGTAGAATGGACCAATCTCATGGCCTGAACTTTGGACAAAAGTAAATTATATGGTGGATATTCTCAGCCTGACTGAATTTGAATCAGTACATTAATTTATGGTTGAATGTATGTGATCTTTAATGCCCCAGCAGACTTAATAAATAACAGTTATCTTACCATTATTTTATGCATTGCATGTGTTAAACTTTGAAAGAAAATAAATTTCTAAGTTAATAAAACAGTGCAATCAAATCCTTTATTTTTCTCATTAGGCTGAAATAATAAACCAAATGAACAAGAAAAGTGTCAATAAAAGATTTAGCATGAACCATTAATTCTCAGAAGATAATGTCAAGAATATTATGAAAATATGCACATTGCCTGTAATTAAATTGCAGAAAATCAATGCATTTACCTTTGAAAAGCAGAGGTATTCATTGCCTTCAAGCTTCAGGTTAGGACCTTAGGCTGGAAGCTGATGGTCTCCTGGTTTTGTTATGAAAGAAAGTGGAAGGATCTCTCTGGAAGGGAATCTTAGGTCATTTCTGTCTCAACCCGTATCGATTCCATAGTGACTATGGATCACACGCATAGTTCTGTCCATCGTTCTTTGCCAGAGGAGAACACAGGTTCTATATAAAACAGTCGGAATTGTCATAAGACCAAAAACAAGAATGGAGCATTTAAAATTATAACCCACTTAACTAGCGGACACTGAACACATGATCTTCTTCAATCAGAAATTTGTAGTCATCTTTTGCATATTCTATTTAGCTGACAACCAGATTTTCATTTTTAATCAGGAGACATTAAAATGTAATTAGGAGCAAATAACAGAATGACAAAGCTGCAAAAAAAAAATATGCATAAAGGTCCAAGGAAGCACACGTTCAGCCACAGCAAGAAGTGCTCGTCCATGAATTCAGGGAATCATGGTGGCCTCTTCATTTTCCCCACATTCACCTCCAAGGCAAATTTTCTAGGAGCAACACTGCTCTGTGACAATGATGATGATTATGAAATGGGGACTGCGGTCACAGCCCGAGAGTGTACATTCTTTAGAGTCAAGAGACCCTCGAACCTCAACAGACATCGTATATAAAGAAACATAGCAAAGTCCAACAAGCATACACACAACAAAATTAACTCATTTATCAGAGAGCAATACAATTTTGAATATGCATTTTCCAGAAAGAAGCACGGGCCAACAGAGACCACCCGCAGCTGCCAAACCTGTGGAAGTGAAGCAACGCATTACAAAATTCACACGATATTGGAATCAGAGGTGAGAAACAAATGCTTTATCAAAAAAGTTGGCTGATGACCCAACAGATAGATATTTCTATGTATATATTTATATATATAATGATAAAAACCAGCTTGCATGAAGGTCATATTCTATCTACTTCGAAGTTATATCACACATACTATAAGCCATTTACAGAATTTGTCAGGTTTGCATATACAGGAATTGCAAAATGAATGAAAATACATTGAAATATAGAACACTCAGAATGTATTTCTATAAACCTCCCAGGATTGACAGGGATTGGCCGTAATCAGCACTTGCCACCATTGAACAAGAACTGCAATCAAGAAAAAGGAGAAAAACACAAGAAAAAGAAAAAATTTAAAAAAATTCTTTCTTTTGTTATTTCTTATTTAAAATAATGTTCTCCTTGATGCCTCGCAGCGTTGATAATTTTGCCCCCTAAATGGGGGTCTCGTTTGATGATAGTTTATATTCTGTAGTCTTTTGATCTCCGCTTGCTTCCTGCAGATAATGGGTCTTTTAGTAGGAAATCTGTGGTATCCATAGTAAATATTTACTATCCCGATGACGTTCAGGCCAACCCCTGAGATGATACTTTAAGTAGCCAGAAGAAAGGGGAAAAAATAGATCTTGCTATTAGAGAATGTCCTATCACTTCACACTAATTCTCTTCAAATAAAAGATCAATGATTTGCCCAAGAAAACATTAAGAACAAAGCGTGTGATAGCCTCTTCACGTATGCTTCCGGAAGCAGGCGCTCCTTGTGTAGGTAATTAGACTACAGTGGGTGCGGAGTGGTGCTTGGAGTTTAGGGTCAACTTTGCTGTCCGCTCCGTAGATTTTACAGGCGATTTGCTCTTTGCTTTAAGAAGAGAAAGTGATATTGGAAAAAAGTCAGCACTTTAGATTAAAGCAAAGCACCCTTCACAAAGCCACAAACAAGAAGCAGGACAGAAAGTCCATGGCTTGTAGCTATCCTGGCACCTGCGGAAGAAGTTATAAGATATTCGCTCATCTTGAAGATTTCCAACGCTCCTTATTAGGCTGTTTAAACACATACATATATATATTTAATTAGCTCGCCAGCTTGGCTCTGGTGCTCATGAATGTCTTGGCATGCACTGTAAATAACAACACATACAAAGTATTTCAGTCCCAGGTAATTGGTCGTGCGTGTCTGTTTTCAAACAATGCCTTTCCACAGGGGGGACACAGAGAGGAACAAATCCAGAATGGCTTCCCTCCAGGCCTTCTCTGGGGGTCATGCCCTACGGTCACAGGGTTGTTTCTCTATTGGTGCCTACAGGAAACACACCCTGCTTTCCTGCGGCTGACACCTGAAACCGCAGGAAGTGCAGCCCAAGCCGAGAGCAGTAGCTTCTCGGGGGCGGGGCGTGCGTTCTGGGCTCGTTTGGGCATTTTCTTTCCGAGGAAGATCTTTCTCAATGTTACCCTTGAAATTAGAGGGAAAAACAGTGCTATCAAGAACTGGCCATTTTTGAAACACCTTTGAGACTCTGTAAGAGAGAGAATTCAATTGTATTTTTGCAATTTTCCTTTAGGTATTTTATCTAATCGGCTTCTAGTTACAAATGATGTATCAAATGCCATTGTTGGTGAGAAAACAAGAAGGTAATTGGGCTCAAAGCATTTTTTCCTTCTTGTTATTTCTTTTTTCTTTTTAACTGGAGAAAGAGGAAAAGGGTTTGAAGGGGGGGAAGGGTAGAGAAATTCAACGTTTTGATTATTTCAGCTAAATCGTGTGGAGGTCCCCATTGGCAATGATAACAAGGCAAAAACAAGTCCAGTGCCGTCACAGAGCGCCTATAGCAGAGCCGTCTGGGCCTCGGCTCTCCCATGACCGCCTGGCTGCCCCCACGGCTGTTTTTCTGGTAGGTCACTTGAGCGCGGTCATGGACTCGCCTTTGTTTGGCAGGGGAGCCACATGTTAAACACAGTACGTCCTCACAGAAACCCAATGGCTGAAGACCCAGAGGTTAGGGATGGGTCTGCGGAGACCATTCCCTCTCTCAAGTTGGGTGCTAGGGGTCAAAAACACGAAAGTGACAGTACAGTCCCCGTGAAACTCTAAGGACAAAGATGGCGCAGGGAAAATATTTGCAATCTATGCAGAACCACTAGCATCAGAGTTTTCCAAAGTTAAGTACGTGTTCTTGTTATCCTTGGAGAACAGATTTTTTGACAGGGATTCATTTTTTGAAAAAGGAAAAATAGAGAGGAATGACTAATTCCATGGCTCCTTAAATCGCTAATGGCACTTGACACAATGTCTGGTATCGAATAAAAGTTTGAAAATGCTAATAGCAAGACTACTAAGTAAAATGGCTCACTCTTTAGAGGAGATATTTTGTGAAATCGTGGTTTTCCTTTTTAGCGTGGGCAGAGCAGACTGGCTCAAATGGACGGCAGCTGCGTTTCTCTAGAAGGGGAGTTACTCTCCCCTTCTGAAGTGACCGGCCCGTCACGGGAAGCGCCTGGCCCATCATTCCCATGAGACATCAGGGACAAGCTCCCCATGTGGCCTGCCTTTTCCTTCCCTGCTATGTCCAGCATGTGCAAGTTAAAGCAAAGTTTGCATTAGCAGTGCAATTGCAAAGAAATCTAATTATACACAGAAAAGGATATTTTAAGGCTCAAACTTTGAGCTGCCATCTTACAGCCAATATACCATTATAAGAGTACTTCCCCCCTACATTATTCATCCACTGCAGGCTCATGCATTTTCTAGCATATTTTTAATTAAATGATATTTATTTCTGTCAGGCCAGTTACAAAGTCTTTCTTCCCTGTACAGTAAATTCTAAAGCAAATCACTGATTGTCTTTTCCTTTCATAGTGTATTTATGCCTTGAGTGAAGAGAAACGTATGTTACCTTTGTAATCCCAAAGACTTAGTGAAATCTGAGAATCTAAAATACTATAATTTGTCCTGTGTAACAAATACTTGTCAGAGTCAATTTCATTTGCAGGTATACCACCCTGAATATAACTCTATTTACTATTCTGAGTACAAACACTGTTTATCAAACATGCCATGGTCTATGCTATAGACAGTCAACATTGTTTCTTGGAAAAGGCAGATCCTGGTCGCTGAGCCAGCTTTGTTCTCCGCGTTAGAGCAGGGACGTGCTATTAACCCTTTAGGGGACTGGTGGGGGCCAGGGCTGCAGTCAGGGGCCTTGGGTGCTAACTTCCCTGCTGCCACTCCCTTCTAAGATCCCAAATAAGGCACTTACCCTTCCATGGTTTCTAAGATGAGCATAGTAACTATCCATGCTTTTTTCCATGTTAGTATGCCAGACACTGTGTTGGAATAGAATCAACTTTCTTTCCCCTTCTTCCTTCCTCCTTCCCTTCCCCCCTCCCTCCCTCCCTCCCTGCCCAGCCCAAGAGGATAACCTGTTACCCCCTAATATGACCCTGCATTTAAGCAACTCTTGCCCTCAAACCCCCTGTGATCCATGGTCTGTTCCCACCAACTCCTTGTTATCCCTCTGGCCTCTGAACTTCAGCAGTGTTTTGCTTTTGTCTTTCTTATGATCATAGCATGGCTTACATTCACCTGTAATTTATTACATTCATGTCTTATCTCACTGACCAGTCTATAAGCTCCTTAAAGACAAGGGGTGAAGTTGTAGCAATTATTTCTCATTACTCTCAATGTCTAAAACAACGCCTTGAGAGTTTTCAAATGTTTGCCCCCAACACAAAACACTGTGCGGAAGAAAGAGAGATGCTATAATGGAAGTGGCGGGAAGACCATGCACAGGGAGCATGTCTAGATGTGGAGCCGGCGGACACAACCTGGAGATCTCTCTCCACTCAGAAGGCCCTTCCATGGCCTCCTTCGACTTCTGTGCAATAAAGATGTCTTTCATTTGATTTCATGCTTAAATATTTACACGGTGCTCTCTCAGGTGTCATTCTTTGTGAGACGGGCGGCATTTTTTTCCGTTTTGCATGTGGCAATGCCTAGGAAGTCTTCTTCTAAGTCCAAGGAACGTGGAAACTTAGCTTCCAATTTTCCGCCCTTCCTGCCGCCCTGCACCAGCCCGCCCCGTGGCCTCCCCTGAGAGCGGCCGCGAGCGTTCCTTTCCTGAGAGGGTGTCCGAGACAGTGGGAGCTTGGCCGAGGGGAACTATGAAAAAACGTCTCGGATATTTTATCTTCACCATAGAGATGATTTTAGAGAGCAACAGAAAATTCCATCTATTTCTTTACGACAAAACAAAACAAATAAGCCACGAAAAAAAAAAAGAAAAAGAAAAAAAGACAACTCAGTGGTTGAGAGCCCGGCGTCCTCTGCAAAGAGGTGGAGACGGCACGCAGTTACCCCACCCTCACACGACTGTCATTGTCATCGACGGCCTACGGCCCAGCGCCCCCACTTCCCCCGCTCATTGAACTCAGCACAGCGCCTGGGACTGGAACGTCGGCCTCGCGCCTCATCTGTTTGCCAGATAGAAGGACCCAGCCGCCCGGAGCCAGCCCCTGTGTAGACTACGTCGCGGGGCTACCGCGGCTTCTTCCCTGGACCTGCGGTCAGGGGGCTGGCCTGCAGCGGACTCTTGGATGCCGCTGCGCCCCTCTTCCAGCTCGCGTCCGTCTCCAAAAGCTCAAAACTGGATCGGGCATCTCCTGTGTGCCAGGGAAGGTGCTAGTTGGTCCCTACCGCCCTGTCATCCTACAGGAACGTGTAACTCAGCGACAGGGATAACACCCCTTAGGTCCCATGGAGGACAGGCGGTAAAGCAAAGGTACAGAAAGGGAGATGCAGCGATGCCGCGAGGACCGCTGGGACGCAGAGGAGCTCCGTCCTGGAGCTTCTGGGGCAAGCGCCCTGCCCGCCCCCGCCCACCTCCGTTACATCAGGGTGCGGAGCTGTTACTTAAATGCACACTCATCTTTTCAGAGAAAATGCACTGCTATCACATGCTTTAGGGAAAAAAAAAATTGATATAAAACTTCTTTCCCCCAACTCTGAGCTAATAAATACTGAATATGAAAACATCAGTCTCTTAGTTTCCTTAAGCATTAAAAATAAACAAAGTTTGCTTTGCTCCATACGGTATACTGAATGGCATTATAATATTTTGAACTTCTATTATAGACTTTTAGAACTTAAAGTTTCCTCCAGTTCCTTTAAATACTTAGGCAAGATGGCTTCACCCCTATTCTCACGTCTTCCTCTTTCTAAGAGCTTCTCTTCTCCGAGCTTTCTATTCACATTTGACGCACTGGGACCAATGCTTAAGCTGATTGTTCAAAGTTGCCATGATTCATTAGCGATCGGGAGAAACAGACAGCCAGAGCGCCTGTCTACCAAGAGAGGTCATTAGAGAGGATATGAGTATTTAATTCAAAGGACTGAGCATTGAGACACAATTTAAACAGTTGATCCCACCTACAGTGGACCAGCTCTTCAAATACGCGCTTTCCCTGGGTGGTGAATCTCTGATGGATTAATTTCCTGTATGAGCACAACTTGCAGTCGGTTTAGATAAGACATGGGAACAATCACAATTCTCGGTGTCTGTCGATTTGGGCACAATTCTCCATATGCTCTTCTCTTCTTTTTTTGGTTCGAGTATGTAGCGGAATCGAAAGAAGTAAGAAAAAGAGAGAGAAAACAATTTCTCTCCTGCTGAGGCTCCGTGGTCTGACTCCAGAACCTTTATTTCGTAAAAGTGACTATAAGTGGCACTTCTCACACGAACAAACCTAAAAATGGAAATCCTCCAATAACGAAAGAAGCAACAGTCCGATGGTTTTATTTTTGCCTGGGGAGAGGCCCAGCTTATAAAGAACGGAGCGCCCGGCTGCGGGAGCAGCCCAGCCTTC